CGGGAGAGCCGCGGCTTCCCTGAGCGGGAGCCCAGAGACAGGAGAGCCCCAGAAGGGCAAAGCGGGGAGCCCGAGAGGGGGGGACCCCTGGGATTGCCGGGCCCCCGGTGGGGGGTGCTGGGGCTGGAGGGGCGGCATGGCCGGGAAAGGGGTTCGGGGGTGCGGGAGCCGGGAGTGGCTGCTCCCAGTACCAGCCCAGTCGATCCCCCCGTGTGGTTCCAGTTTCCTCGGAAGTCCCAGTATGAGCCCAGTCGCTCCCAGTATGAGCCCAGTTGCTCTCCCGGGGAGTTCCAGTTTCTTCGGCACTCCCCGAATGAGCTCAGTCTCTCCCAGTCATTCCGTATTATGATGTAATATTCCCACAGTACGGTCCCTGTTGCTCCCAGTCCCTCCCACTTTGGTCCAGGGTGTTCCCAGTTCTGCAGTTCTCCCTAGCACAGTCCCAGTCATTCCTTGTGTGACCCCAGTATGAGTCCAGTATGATGCCAGTCTCTTCCAGCAGGGCCCCAGTCACTCACACTTCCCCCAGTTGCCTCAGCATGGTCCCAAGTTTCCCACCGGCACATTCCCAGTCGCTCCCAGTTAGGTCCCAGTCACCACCCCTATGGTTTCAGACTCTCCCAGTATATCCCAGTTGCCCTGAACAATCTCATAGTCCTTCCCAGCCACTCCCAGTTACCTCAGCATGGATCACTTGCCCCCAGTTTGATCCCAGTTGCTCCCAGTGTGTGTGCAGTGTGCTTCCAGCTTGGGCCCGGTAGCTCCCAGTAACCCCCAGTCAGGGTCCAGCCACACCCACTCTAATCCCAGTATGACTGTAGACACTCCCAGTATGATCCCAGTATGATCCCCATCACTTGCAGTCTAATTCCAGTCACTCCCAGTCTGATGCCAGCGGCCCCCAGTGTGATCCCAGTTGGTCCCTGTCAATGCCAGCATGACCCCAGTAGCCTCCAGTATAATCCCTGTGCCTGCCTGTCTCTCCCAGTATATCCCAGTCACCCCCAGCATGGTGCCAGTCACTCTCACTTCTTCCCAGCTGCTTCCAGCATGTTTCCAGTTGTTCACAGCCACTCCCACTCCATCCCAGTATGATTCCAGTCACCCTTGAAGTGATCCCAGTCTCAGCCAGCATGTACCCAGGTGCTGTCACTGTGATCCCAGTATGATCCCAGTTGCTGCCAGAACAGTTCCAGTTGTTCCCAGTTCCTACCAGGATGATGCCTAGAATAGCCCCAGTCTCTCTCAGCATTGTTCCGCTATCTCCCAGTGTCCCCCAGAGGGGCTCCAGTCCCCCCAGTATGGCACCAGCTGTCCCCAGCTTTGTCCCAGCTGTTCCCAGTGTGGTTCCAGTCCCCCCAGTATGGTTCCAGTCACTCCCATTATATCCCAGTTGCCCCAGTAAGGTTCCAGTTCGCTCAGAATGATTCCAGTCTTTCCCAGTTACT